AGTAGTTTTATGTTTCGCCATTTACATCATTTGTCAATAATTATTCAAAAAGTAGGAGGATTAATTAAAGCACAAGTATATATATATATAAATATAAATACAACAGATAAATAAATAAAAATAAATCAAGCATGTAAATGACTTTTTCGAAGAAAATTGCTTTTTTTTTTTTGGTAAAAATGGTTATCTTTAAAATTAAAAATTTTCAATGTTGTTGTAACCATCTTTGCCAAAATAATTTGATTATTAATCAGGTAAAATAAATAAATCGAGTGATCTTGTGGAAGAAGAGATTATTGCGTAAAAGTTGTAAAACAATACCTATTTGCGAGAACCTAGGCTACAATTTCTTCTAAAAATTTTGTAAAATCATTAAAAAAGTGTGTCCGAATACTTTATTCCAAGGAGCACAGTTAACAATTAAAAGTTGTTGTTGACATACAAGAAGTTGTTTAACTTGCTGATTCAGATTTCTTTTGCATGGTCTTTTCAAGTTGAGAATGTTAATATTAGCAAATTTTATAACACATTTCGATTTTATCAAGGCCAATTTTTAACCATATGGTTATTAAGAAATACTAGTAAAATATAATAGATAAACTTTACTGATTAACCTTTTATCGTATCATGAATGACCCAAAAGTGTATTCAATGGATGTTTTTTAAAAACCTTAGTTTAGTTATATTAATCTAATCTAATTCTTAATTTGGATTTTATTAATTTTAATTTTAATTTTTAATTTAACTAACAAAGCTTATAAAAAATATACAAAAATCACACGAATATCGAACCATATCAAACAATTTCTAGATGACAACTAATGACATGACAATACCAAAACAATGGAGATTAATTTTAATTGACCAAATTAGACAATTACCCGATCCATTATTTTCTATTATAATGTATAATAAATTTAATTGTTTGATTTCTTTGGCTGTTATTATTTTAGAAAATAAATTTATTGTTGTTATGAATGGTTAGATTCATTTGTTATTATTGGATGATATTTGGAAATGTGTGGCGATATCAAAAAAAAATAATTATTACCAACAATATTCCGTGTCACAATCTATACAACACGCCGCCCTTCTCTTTAACTCATTTGTATTTATGAAAATGAAAATTACCTGGTTATGATAATTTATCAACTAATCATAGAGAACAAACAAATAAAAGGAAATAATTTCTTATTGCTATGTATAAAAAAAAAAAAAAAAAAAAATGAATTTTATTTTATTTCAACTGTTTATTGCTGATCATTTCTTTAAAAACTAACAAACAGCGATCTCGATTTTTTGTTATATATATATATATATTGTAAGTAATAATAATGAAATAAACTTTTTATTATTTATTTATACTTTTTCATAATACAATTTTTTTATATTATTATTATTATTGTTGTAATAGTAATTTGTTTATTTTTATCTAGAAAATTTTAATATATAAAGTCCTTCCTTTCCGTTTTTTTTTTTTTTTTGGAAAATTAATTTCATCAACGAAAAATATTTTATTTATACAAAAATTTAAAACCTAAAATGACGAAATCGAATTTAAAATCAAATTCATCCTCTCCCTCCTCTTCATTCACCTCCTCTTCCGCCCTCTCATTATCATCAAGAAAAATTAATACTTTAAATATTCTAATTAATTATAATGATGATAACAATCATAATAATAACGTATTTCAATATTTTATAAATTCAGCACCATCATCACCATCCTCCCTTAATCATCTATTATTAAATCAAAAAAATTGTCCATCATCATCTTCAAATGAATCGGCTTACATTTCATTTCCTGAATACGAAACATTTGATCCAATTAATAATAATAATAATAATAATAATGATAATGATAAAAATAAAATCATCGATCATGATAATTTAATATTACAAATGGAACAATTTGATGAAATGCTAGTAAATGGGATTAAGGTTTCTCACGCATTGCTGAATTATTAAAAATAATCAATGAATAATGACATTTATATTTATAATTAAATATATATAATGAATTTAATGAATTTAATGAATTTAATGAATTTATGTTTTCTACATTTTTCTTAATGACATTTATTTCGTCAAATATAATTTTTCAAAAAAACAAAAATCGTAACTACTATTTTTTATATTATAATTACTACAAAGTATTATTACTCGATATTTTTCAAAAACAATCTATTTTTTTTTTTATATATATATAAATTTTCACATGGTTTTTACTTGTTTCAACTCGAACGAATAATCGATAAGCCGATCTACTTTATTTGGAAATGGAAGAAACAAAAGAAATTCGTTTTTTTGTTGTATATATAAATAAACTTTTGCGAAAAAATTTTATTTTTTTGTTAACGAGAATCGTATGTAACACACGACTATCAGACATGACTACGGATTATATTTGAACATATTTTATTTAATTGTTCACTTCGCTGTGTTGTTGTTGTATAATTAAGTTGTCATTATAATTACCTTTTTTTTTTTATAATGGCTTTTGTAAATATAAATCCTTAAGATTTTTGTATATTTTTTATAAGCTTTGTTAGTTAAATTAAAAATTAAAATTAAAATTAATAAAATCCAAATTAAGAATTAGATTAGATTAATATATCTAAACTAAGGTTTTTAAAAAACATCCATTGAATACACTTTTGGGTCATTCATGATACGATAAAAGGTTAATCAGTAAAGTTTATCTATTATATTTTACTAGTATTTCTTAATAACCATATGGTTAAAAATTGGCCTTGATAAAATCGAAATGTGTTATAAAATTTGCTAATATTAACATTCTCAACTTGAAAAGACCATGCAAAAGAAATCTGAATCAGCAAGTTAAACAACTTCTTGTATGTCAACAACAACTTTTAATTGTTAACTGTGCTCCTTGGAATAAAGTATTCGGACACACTTTTTTAATGATTTTACAAAATTTTTAGAAGAAATTGTAGCCTAGGTTCTCGCAAATAGGTATTGTTTTACAACTTTTACGCAATAATCTCTTCTTCCACAAGATCACTCGATTTATTTATTTTACCTGATTAATAATCAAATTATTTTGGCAAAGATGGTTACAACAACATTGAAAATTTTTAATTTTAAAGATAACCATTTTTACCAAAAAAAAAAAAAGCAATTTTCTTCGAAAAAGTCATTTACATGCTTGATTTATTTTTATTTATTTATCTGTTGTATTTATATTTATATATATATATATACTTGTGCTTTAATTAATCCTCCTACTTTTTGAATAATTATTGACAAATGATGTAAATGGCGAAACATAAAACTACTAAGCATTAGTGTTTAACACGAGAAAAATTTTTTTTGGTCTTTAATTTCTCTTTTGAGTCCATGCAATAGTCATTATGTACTACAACAAAATCAGTAACAAAAGCAGCTATTCATGTGCACATTATTTATTTTTAGAATTTAAAGAATGACAAGAACTTTTGAATCTCTCTAATAATAATAATAATAGTAATAATAATAGTACAAGAAGATCATTAATAATAATAATTAATAAATAAACAATGAATAATAATCTATATAATCTATTGATGCCATGAAATATGAATGATTAATGGATGAATGCGACGAATGCGATGAATGGATGAGTGTGATATTAATGGATGTTTGATATGGATGAGTGTAATAACAATATACACATATAATTATTTTTTCCCTTACTTTTTATAAATAAATACTTTTTTTTTTACTTTTTTCTTTTAATTTTAATTCTGATACAATCGTCTTGTGAGCCACGTTTTGCAATTGGCATTATCACAGGTTGATGAGAGAATGATGAGACTATAGTACAAATTCTATAATCACCGGGTGATAAACCTTTTGCTTTAACTGACAAAATCCCATTATCATCTGGTTGATCCAATCCTTTAAAGAATGCGACATCTCTTGCATCAGGTAAATTATTACCATCAAGTTTTTGTATGGTAATGTGAGAATGTCCTTTGATCATGCCGTTTTTCAGTTGTTGAGGTTTGACATAATATTGCTTATTTGGATCGGTGAAGAAACCTGTTATTAAATTTGAAGTTTTTGTTCTAATTCTAAATGATTGGTGTGCCTTTATTGTTTGACCATTCATTGGCTCTATTATTAATGTTGATGGCATGTTATCGACAGATGGAATTTCTCCTTGGATTGTTTGTGAACAAGAACCTTGACGAACTTGTTTACCATTTGTTGCCTTTTTTTTTTTACATAAATTCTTGTTAAGATTTTTATCGTTGTTGTTTTTCATTGGAGCTCCAGAGACCATGATTATAGAAGAAATTGCAATTAAAAGAACAATTAACAATGAGTTTATTTTCATTTTTAACAATATTTGGATCAAAAAGATATTTGAATTAGAAATGCGATAGAATCGAATTAAATTAATTTGAATTGCACCAGGCAATAAATAAAGTAAGATTTTAATTAGTAAGGGAAGAAGTAATTAATTATTAGGATTATAGAAGATTATTATTATTATTATCTATCTATTATTATTACTATTCTATTTCTACTTTTACTATTACTACTATTACTACTACTACTACTACTACTACTATTATTATTATTATTATTAAAAATAAAAATTATTATTACTTTTGTTTTCAAGAGAGAGATAAAGAGGACGGCAAAACATTTTCGACATTATTTATACATGGGAAAAAAAAAAATTTAACTTTATTTGAGTGAAAAAGGGTTTCTTTGTCGAATAAATTTAAAAATATATGAAACATATATATGATAATCAAAATTTTTTTTTATTATAAATTTTTGTTACAAAAAAAAAAATAAATTAAAAATTTACTATTTAGGAAATTTCGCGTATTCATTTCTTCTTTTAGAATGCCATAATAATAATGGAAGATAAATGTGTAATCTAATTTCATAACAATAATAATAATAAGGGTTTGTCAATTATTGTATCATTATTTTACTATTTTGGAATTTTATTTGATTCATTGTTAAATTTTCTTTATATTTTACAATCTAATTTATGAAATGAAAACAAATAAAAAAAAAAAAATAGCAGACAATAGAAATAAAGAGTTCTAAAAACTCGAATTAAAGTATTTTAAAACCATTAATATTAATATTAGTATCAGTATATTTTAACATTTTTTCTTATTATTAACATTTTCATTGTTACCATCAACATTTATTATTTTTATTATCATCATCGTCTTCTTTTATTATTGACAAATGTTCCTTCCATTGTTGGTCCTTTTCTTTATCCAGTTCATCCAACATTCCTTGTGCAATCTTTACAATTTCTTTCCTCCGTTCTCTTATCAAATCAGATCCATCACTGTATATCTTATCCAATTTTTCTAAAGTTTTAAGTATTAAATCTTCCATCATTAAAAACGTTTTGTTTTCTTTTGTAATTGGTAAGATTTGTTTCTTCTTATTATCATCTTTGTCATTGATACGGAATGTTAATTGACCAATTTTATTGTCATATTTTGATTGAATATTTAATAATTGTTGTTGAATTGATTTCAATTCTAAAAGTTTTTTAAGAATTACTTTGGTATTTTTATTTTGTTGGCTTTGATTAATAAATTTATAAATTTTATTTGCTGCAACTTTTTGTTGTGAAGACGATGACGATGATGGTAATGAATAATTTGTGTTGGAATTGGAATTGGATGAATTCATTTTCTCCTTTTCTTTTTCTTCTTTTTGTTTTTCTTTTTCTTTGATTTCTTCAGGTGTCATAACTTTAATTTTTCTATTTCTTGCAATTTTTTCTGGTTCGAATAATTTAATATTTCCTTTGTGATATTGTGTATCATTATCATGATCATAATAATTATAATTACTATTGATGTGACGTAGATTGTTATTATAGAAGCCATTATAATAAGGTCTATGATTATAGCTATTATTATAATAACCGCTACTATTATTATTTCTTGGGTGGATATAATAGTTCCTACCACCGCCATATCTGTTACTAGGATGTAGCTGATTTGGATAAGGATTTATTTCATCGTAATTGTAACCGTAAAGTGATGATGGAAACATTTTTAGTTTTATTTTAAAAAAAAAATTTTGTTTTATTTTATTTTACTTCAGTTGATTTTTTTAAGATAATTGCTGATTTTTTTGATTTATTTTATAATAACTTGAACAACTTCTACCGATTGCACGAAATTGCTAGAATATGTTTGTCATTAGTGTAACCCAGAGAATTACTAATGTGTACCGTAATACGTCAGCTGACTTTTACATACTTTTTAATTTTAGTAAGGTTACACGATATTTTAATTAAATACTTACTGTTATATTTTAATAATAGCCAGAGTTTGAATCACTCACATGGGTGGCGGGTCATTATTTCTTTTTTGGTAACGTTATATGTAACATGTATTAATTATATTTTACTAAGTTTGAAATGAAGTCTTAGTTTAAAAAAAAAAAAAAAAAAAGAAATAATCACTCACAGACTAAAAGTAAATGAGAGTTAAAAAAGAGAAATTTCATTAGAAACCTTATTATTGTAATTTTTACATAAAAATTCTTATTAATAATAAACATAAGAATAACTAGTAGCCTCAAAGACCTTTTTTTTTACAATCAGATCTCAAAATATGTCAGTTAGAAATCTTGTTACACGAAACTTCTTATTTAATATTAATAATAACAGAATAAAATATGCTCTTATCTAAATTTAAAAATACTTTTTTATATTTTTATATTAAAAATGCAACGTATATTCGGTTATAATATTCGAAAAACCGGTTTATTTCGGGCAACCGAATTTAATATTAGTCAAACCGGTTGAACCGGTTTGATACTAAGTACTCTTTGATATCCTTTAAAATGATGAATAAAAATGATTTTTCCATTTTATCTCAACTCGCACAAGATGTTGTCAGTTCCTGCAGCCTCTAGCGAGAGATTGTTTTCAGATGCTAGTAACCATATTTCTGCGAAACATGCTTTATTATTCCCGGATTTGGCTAATCAGGTTTTGTTTTTAAAAAGAAATATTGGGTCTTCTTAAAAATTAACACGAGTTAAATTTTCATGTAACCTTTAAAAAAAAATAATCATAAAGTCGATTATTCCAGTTAAAAGCTATCGAACTACGTTGGAATTTTTTCGGTGTAACAAGATTGTATTACATATAAATTTTTTGAAATTGATCCTCCTATAATGCCAGCCCAACTTTATGAATCAATTTTAAAAAAAAATCAAATTTTTCCTCTAATAAAATCTTAAAAAAGAACTCAGCACTTAAAAACATTGCAAAATTTCTGTACGGTCAAACAAAAGAAAACTAGAAGATAATGAAATTGAGTGAGAAATTAATCATTATTTAATTTGAAAATATAAATAAATATTTCTTTTTTTAGGGACAATAGTGATTCTGCTAATTCTGAAGAAGACTTTGAAGAAATGGATCCATATTTTGATGAAGAATTTGAAAATATTACAATGAATTATTATTTCAATTACTGACTAATAATATGAAAAATTATAAGGCCAAAAAGGCTATTAATCTATCAAGAGCACACACATAAGTCAATTTTTTGTCACGTGATCTTCAGATTTACAAATGAAATTTGACTACCCTTTCTATATTATTACAGTCAGGGAATATGTTAAATTTGAAAATCAATTCTAGAATAATTAGAATCCTTTTTATCAATCAATTCATATATGTTTAATGTGATACTTCTATGCATGTTAAAAAAAAAAGTCCTATAATAGTTGAAATAAATTCTTCTGAATATATTCTCCAAGGATCACTATAAAATTTACAAGATAAAAGAAGCCATTAGTTAAAGAAAATATCTTTTTTTTTGTAACTTTATAAAAATTCTTCTTAATAACCATAGGAATAAATAGAATAATAAGCTTCTAGTTTCAGAATCAACTAAGATCTTTTCATCATAAGTTCTGTATCTCAAATGTATTAGTTTAAAAAGAGTAATTTTGTTAACTAACTTTACAAAATTCCTTATTAATAGTAACCATAGGAATATAGAACAAACTTTTATTTGCTCATTAATGAATATGGCATAGGTTTGCTTTTATCTAAATTTACAAATGTTTACATGTAAGAATTAAGATTATTTTTTTATTCAATAATTTACTTATGTATATCAAATTTATATATTTATTGTTTTATGAATTATTAGGAATGTTGTATTAATTTTTATGTATGTATATATTCAATGGGTAAATGAATAATTTAGCCATAATGATAATCAGAGAGCATAAATAATATTAATTGATTATTTTTATTATCAATCTTTTTGGATTAAATGAGAATCAATAATATCAATGAATTGCAGGTAAAGGAGAACATTATTGAATTTGTTTATTATATTTAATGGATAAAAGGAATAATTTGGTTGGTTATAATTACAAATACAGTGTGGGACAAAAAATTTTGCCTTCGGTAATATTACAATAACTTTACAACCAACAAAGCAAATCACTTATAAAATAGCTCATTTAAAACTATGAAATGAATCGATTTATTATAAAAATTAAAAAGGAATTCGTTTGCCATTTCTTTCAATAATCGCTTTGCAACGTCTCTTCATTGAGCCTATCAAATTTTTTATAACAGAATCCGGAATACTCTCCCACTCCTCAATCATAAAACACTTTAATTCAGTGAGATTTTTTGGTCGTTGCCTTTCTACATTGGTCTTAACTATGCTCCAAAGATTTTCTATGGGATTGATGTCAGGGCTGTTAGATGGCCAGTCAATAACTTCAGGCATATTTGCCTGAAGGAACTCCCAAGCTACAGCACTTGTATGCTTGGGATCATTGTCTTGCTGAAAGCGCCAGACACATCCTAGCATTTGTTTAATCTCAGGCAAGTGCTTCTGAAGAATTTCGATGTAAAAAGGTCCTGTCATTATTTCTTGAAAGCAGAAAAGGCTAGTTTTTCCTGTTGCACAAAATCTGCCACAGGCAAAAATTTTTGTACGATTTTTTGGAATAGGGCGGATTGGCCGTGCACCCTTATACCACTGTTTTATGGTATTTCAGAATAACTGAAAAGCAGTTTCATCTGAAAAAAGGGGTTTTTTCCAGTTATCATTAAGGTGAGC